TTTACTGTGTCATCTCAAGCTGAATGGATTACTTACTTTTTTCATAGCTCTCTTTGACACTTTGGGAATTTCAATTTGTCGAAGATTCTGTGAAACCTCAGCAATGCTTTTATGTCTTATTAATGCATTTTTCCTTTTAAAAATAGAAAGAGATAGTCAATACATACTAGATAGAAGTTATACACAGTTAAATTCAAATGGAACTAGAATCTAAGTAAAATAAAATACGATTTAGATAAAGGCCAGGTATCTTAGGTTGGTCTGGATTTATAACAAGACACCCCAGAATTTTCAAAAGTAATAAATTCAACTAGTTATGAACAATGAAAAGCATCAGGGGAAATTTAAAAAGCTGAAACTCTAAGCTTGTTTCATGAAAGGCCTAGTTCTTGGAGCCCTCATGTGGACAGTACAGAAGGGCTTTGTGAAATAGAAAATCAACACTATACAGTCACACAACGTTTCATTCAATGACAAACTGCACACATGACAATGGCCCCATAGGTTATAATAAAGAAATAGAAACCTTATACATGACACTTGATATATTGGCTTTACAGATCAAGTAGGGGAAATGACAGATATCCAGTAAAAATGCTGGGACATTAGCTTTTCCAAATGAAAAAATACATACTATCTAGGTTTTGGTAGGCACACTCCGATGTTAGTACAATAAAAATTGCCTAACAATGCATTTCTCAGGATGTAGCCCTGTTGTTAAGAAAACATGACTACATATTTCCTAGATAATATAAGGATTGTCAGATGCTCCTATTTGGGAACTCCAATAGTTGGCTTCTCTAATTCAGACATAAGGGCAGCTATTAGTTTAACAAATTATATGGACAAAGATGACTGGACTGTGGTTGAAACATATCTTTCATCGGAACTAGAACAGTACAAGCAACTCCTTTGATTCTTCGAGCTCTTACCTTCTCTTCTTGGCTGATCTGGTACGAAGGTCCTCTAGTTCATCAGATTCAGTGCTGCCAGACACTGATCTACGAGCACTTGACAAAAAAGGCACAGAAAGAAGTGGTGATTTGTTCTCTTGTGTCATGGAGTCATCACTGAAAAAATCTGTAGGAAGGACACCAGCCAGCTTCTGAGGAATCACAAACCCTAGGCTGTTGTAAAGATTTCCAAGTGTCTTTGGGATAGAGTCGATATACCTGTGGAATAGATTGATTGAATATGAAACAGAGAATTACCATCTTACCATCTTTATTCCCTTCCTCACCCAGCCTAAGTAGTAGTCAGTCCCTACAAGTCCAAAATTGAGACAATACCATATATAGGTCTTGATAAAACAATTTTAAAGTTAAGTTAGTAACCATCAAACTTACAGTCTCAAAATTTCCTCCAGAAACTGTGCTAGGTATGCTGAATCCTCCGTTAAACACACCATGCGCAGCAAATCTGTCACCTGAAGATTTTAGAACATTACTAGACAGATGCCTTCTGAAAGCATCTAGGGCTTATTCCCATGGCACTAAGCTAGATACTTGCCTCCTCCACTACTTGTTCCATATCATCGGGACTTTCATTTATTGAAGGGCATTGCAGACACATTTCCAAACGAAGAAATACCTGAAGCTGGCACCTTGAGAGAAAAAAATACTTGGTCTACTTTGGACGTAACTTAACAAAAAGCTCCTTCCTTAAGCATAGATCTATTTATATAAGAACAACCAAAATGGAGAAGAGCCAGTACCTTCTCTAAAAACGGATACAGGCTGGGCGCGGTGGCTCCTGCCTGTAATCCCAGTAGTTTGGGAGGCCGATGTGAGCGGATCATCTGAGGTCGGGAGTTCGAGACCAGCCTGACCAACATGGAGAAACCCTGTCTCTACTAAAAATACAAAATAAGCTGGGAGTGGTGACACATGCCTGTAATCCCAGCTACTAAGGAGGCTGAGGCAGGAGAACTGCTTGAACCCAGGAGGCAGAGGTTGCAGTAAGCCGAGATCCCGCCATTGCATTCCACCCTGGGCAACAAGAGCAAAATTCTGTCTCAAAAACAAAATAACAACAAAGAACTCTGATATAGTTATCAAATAAATAGGTGATTCAAGCTGCATATTACATCAAAAAAAAAAATTGGCTACAAAAGCATCTTCATGCAATTGGCACTTCTTTTTTTCTTTCTTTTTTTTTTTTTTTTAAAGACAGGGTCTTGCTGTGTTGCCCAGGCTAGAATGCAGTGCAGTGCTAGGATCATAGCTCACAGTAATCTTGAACTCCTGGGCTCAAGTGATCCTCCTGCCTCAGCCTCCCAAGTAGCTAGGACTATAGGTGTACACCACCATGCCCACCTAATAAAAAAAAATTGGTAGAGACAG